TCAGACATGGTGTCAAAGAGAAAGATGCTCAGTATGCTTTGACATTTCATGTTAGTGTTTGGTCGAGCTTCTCCTCCGACTTGTGGCGCGCGCCTTGTTGTTGTCACACAAAGCGGAGGGACCTACAGTTTTACGCCGACTCCGAACGGCGATTGTATTTTTACGAGAAGCTGTTTTTCATGGCAGAAATACACTCGGAGGTTTGCTATTGCCTGCCGATGGACGACCGCTGTTATGAAAAAACCTTTTTTCTATACTTTTTGTTCTGATATACATTTCTTATAATTGATTAGGTACTTTTTTAAGAAGAACATACATTTTGATTTAAAAACGGATATGATCTGGTTTTTCTCGAAATACATATGTTTGTATTATTTATATAGAATTACATACTTAATGAAATTGAAAATATTGAAAATTCCACTTTTACCACCCCTTGTACCGCCCCTTTTAATTTGCAGCAAAACATAATTCATACGATCAAAATAAGGAATACGGGGCGAGCCACGCCTGTTCTTTAATTTTACCAAAATCAAAGATATTTATACTGACATTTTCTACTAAAAACTTCTAAAAAAATAACTGTTCGCTTAATCGTGCTCCCTTTATATTTCACAGTTCAATTTAGGTTGAGAAGTACGCTCGGAAAAAATTGACATATTTTCAATATATTTGCGGTGAAGATATGGCGTACTATAGCCAAATTCTGAAATAGGGTGTTTTCGAAAAGTTATCTGAGATAGGACTTCTTCGAACTGGCTGTCGAGATAGCTCGATCTTCCACTCAGCCGTCGATGGGTAGATATTTAATAGCTTTCTAAATATAAATAGAAATTTACTGACTTGGAATTTCTCATGTAGAAATCAATACCTCAAAATAACAACTGTTTGGGTCCGACTGGGTATGTGCATACCTCCATACGAATTCTATGTATTTTGTAATAGTGCCTTAGCACCAACAATCATTTGTGATTGCAAAATCCCTTCTTTATATATCGACATACAAATATAAGGGCATGCATAGTTACTTTCATTCCAGCGCAAAAAATTGACAAAAAAAAATCAAAACGAAAGCCACAAACCGTCCAGTTCAATCGAAACAGAAATACCATTCTAACATCG